GATAAGCTGATAGTTCTTATAATTAAGGTAAGTTGTCACCATGTGAAATTAGGTTTTTGAAAGTGCCAACTAAAATTTTTAAGTTTAATCAAAATTAATGCTAGAAGAAATGAGAACAGAGGATTTTTATTTTCTTTTTGTGAGAGCAGCAAAATAAAATACAACTAAAAAAATTTGTCAAATATTCGTTTAATAGATGGCGACAAATAATTTTATTGATACAATCATACAAAACTTTTTTTAAGTACTGAAAACAAGGTAGCAATCACGGTCAAAAATTTAACTTTAACACTTTTCATAGTATGTTAAGTGTTATGGTAGAAAGTTAGTTGTATAGAATTGATTAGGCAAAAGAAACGAAATGTTTAGATTTCAATGGAGAGTATTAAGCCTGTAGATATCATGATAATGTTTAAATATAAAAGATATAATTAAAGATGAAAAAGTCTATTTTACAAGTAACTAAATGAACCCTCTAATTTTAATAATATGGTGAAATCTAATAGAAATTATAAGTACCCAATTCATTGATACTAAATGAACCCTCTAATTTTAATGAAAGATGAAAAAGTCTATTTTAGAAGTAACTAAATGAACCCTCTAATTTTAATAATATGGAAAAATCTAATAGAATTTATTAAGTACCCAATTCATTGATATTATGTTCTAAGCTGCATATAAAAGAAAGTTTTAGGTCTATATTATTTGCCTATTGAGATAATAGTAGAATAAAAGAATACAATGAATTTTAATTTCTTAGGGCTATTTATTTGGTTGTTAAATAATTGTGTTTTATTGCAAGTAATTTGGATCCATATTTATTAATGAATTTTTTTAATACATTAATATCATATATAAACCTAAAAATATTAATTTAATGGATAACTAGATTAGAGTTAAAGGTTGGTGACGTCATGATGACATTAGGAGTTGGTTATGTTGTTCGTGGATGACAATGATGTTGGTGGCAAGAGTAAACCCATGTGACATGAATAATATAGAATTGTGGGAATCATTGTGGGATGGGGCCATGTTGGCTTATGGGGGTTTGAGGGTTAGATGTGACATTGGAGATGTGGCTAGTGTTGAGGAACATGGGTAGTGTTGGAGAATGAGCATAGTGTTATAAGATAGGGGATGTCTCAGGGGGCAGGGTGGCATTGTTGATGGAGGTTTTCTCATACGGACAATTGAAAAGTAAAATTCATGTATTTGTTATAATTTATACTCTTAATACTCAACCAAAAGAGCAAGTTTTCTTCTATTGAGGTACCTAAGAGAAACGATGCTTGAAAGCTCATGTTCCATGCACAAGAGAAATTGTAATTTAATGATGTTATTGAAAAGTGGTGGAGTCGTTAAAAATTAGATCTATTATTTTATCTACTTTTAAATTGATTGATTTTTTTCTGTTAGATATCAGATGATTGAAGGGAGAAGGGATTTTGAAATTAGAATGTGATTTTGTGAGAAATTATGATAGCGGAATATCAAATTTTGGGGATTTGTGTCCTTTTATCTTTCAGAAGACTAAGCAGTGGCTTTAAGCAACAACTCATATCAAGTCACAGGGAGTGTTGTTTACTGCTGATGAGAAAAAAAAAAAAGGGATTTTAGTTTTTTGGACATGTGTTATCTTACATAATGAAGAATGTTAACGACAAAAAGATGTGAAATAAGAAATGGACAAAAGTAACCTCATAATAGTATGTGAAATAACGAGGTGTTTAAACTATGTGTTGACAATGTTAAAAAGAATGAATTCCACAAAAACCATCTTATAAAGCTATGATGGTGATGATGACATTTTATACTAATTATAATTAATCATAATCCATATCTAACCTTAGTTCAAACATGTTTCATCAATTTCTTTGATATTTGTGATTTATCTTTCAATTTATGATGACAGCATCGATACATCTTCCATGCTTTTTAAATAATTTGCCTGCACAACATATGACTGAACTGTTTTCAGGTTGAAAGGCTAGCCAGGGATTGTTTCTTTTTCCTCACCTAATCAACTCCATTTGACGAGACAAATTTTGTTAGTTTCTCAAATTCCTGTGGGAATGCAAGGCCGATGAAGGTCTGTAGAATGTTCTTACACAGGCATTCTAAGCTCAAACTTATCAGGAAGGAGTTTGAGATGATGAACTTGGTTGATAGTTGGAAAATTGGCCTTCTTGATGGAAGGCATATTTTAATTTAGCTAGACAATGAGGAAGACTACATTAGATTATTCGCAACGAGAATCATGAAGACAGTTAATAGGGCAATGAAAATCCTCAAATAGTCTATGGATTTTGTCTAAAAATCGAACCCCCTTAGATACATGTTTGGATATGTTTCCTAGGACTAAAATTTCACTTATTTAATCAGAAATTTCCTTTTTCTATTGCAACAATTTTTGTGAAGACATTAAAAATGGATTCCTCAACTTTCAGTCTGTCAGACCATCGACAACAATGGTCTTAGTGGAAAGAGACATCACACAATTTTGAGGATGAAGTGGATCAACACAAAAGAGATATTGGCAGGAGGTTATTTTTGAAAAACACCCACCATATTGTGATAACTATTGGATGTTTGGTCACTCTTCTTTGCAATGCTATCACTTACACCCAAAATTAAAAGGACCTACTAAGTTTGATGGAATAAAAAATGCTACAAACTTAACTGGGCATGAGAATATTGCACTGGAGGATAGGGTTGATGTAACTGATGTGGAAATAGGAGCTAGCTTGGGATCAGGCTCTCTACAAGTTGAGAGAAGAGTTGCTCACGAGGATAATTTTTCTGGGTAAAATGATTTGGATATGAACAAAGAAGACTTGATGGTTGTTAATGATTTGACCTTGGAATTGGAACCACATGTAGCTATCATCAACATGCAGAAGTTGGAGGTTCCAAAAATACCTTGTTTTAACTCTGAGAAGGTTGTTTATGAAATTAATGTTCTTGTTACATTAGCACTTGGTGTTTAATCTGGTGAGGATGATGATGAGGTTACTGTTTCTTTGGAGGCTGGCGTAATCCCATGTCCTCATGGGGAAAATATTAAGGCAGATAGAATCTCTTTAGAGGATGAATAGATTGTTTATAAATCTAGAAAAAAGAAGAAAGGCAGGATGGAATTAAGAAACTTGAGGCAAGATAATATCAAACATAACAACTATTTTTCATATTCTGATGGGAAGCAGAATGGTGTTCTTTCTAGGATAGCTAGAATGTGTCATTACTTTCATTATGGTTAATCTACTTATATGAAATATCAGGGAGGTGACTGACCTTAACTCCCTTGATAGATTAAAGAATTTGGTCAGAACTAACAAAATTTGGTTATTGCTATCTTGGAACCTTTAGTACACATCAACAAACATAATGTTGTGAAGAATCTTAATAAGTATAACATTGTAGCCAATGTCATCAACAATATTTTGGTGTTCTATAGAAAAGAAATTTTAATAAATATTAACATAGATGGTCCGCAATTTCTGCACTTCTCTTTTAATATCAACATATGCAAAGGGTGGGCCACAATTATCTCTGCAAGTTGTAGTCATAAATTAAGATTTGAATTATGGAACAAATTGATTAACTTGGGTTCTAATATGATGGAGAACTGGACGGTTGGGGGCGACTTTAACATGATCACAGGTCATAAAGAGAAACAAGGGGGAAGTAGACCAAATATGTCAATGATAACTAAATTCAATGAAGCTATTTTGGATGCTAAGCTTTTTGACATTGTTTTTGTTGGTCTTAGCTATACTTGGAAAAATTGGCAAAGTTTTCGAGAGGTTAGATAGTGTCCTTGCAAGTCAACATTGGCTAGATAATTTTCCAAATACAACAGTATATCACCTTTCTACATTGGGTTTTTATCATAGGTCTTTATTGCTAAGCATAAACTTTTCCAACAAACCTATTGGTACATTTTTTCGCTTTCTTGACTGGGATCTAACATTTTTGCATTTTAAATTTATAAATCATCTCCAATTTAAAACGTCAATTACTATGTTTAACGTGTTATATTATTGTTGTGTACTTTATGAATTTGATTCATGTTGTAATTTTTTCAGCTAATTCAGTGTGATGTACAATGTGTAATCAATTTACTATATGAACTTGACATCAATGTTTACTATACTTTGACTAATGAACTTAAACCAAGTGTAATGAGCACAATATCCATATTATGTTGCATTCTTGATTTACTGTCTTTGAACATGTGAATGTTCAAGCAAAATAAAATTTTTGCAGCTCTTTCTGTTTTTTCTTATTTAATTTTTTTATTATATGCTAGAGCTTCTTAAAATTTCACTTTAACATATATACTTTGATTTTCTTCTGCAAATATGAAAATTTCTCATTCGAAAAATGTTTGGTTGCTATGGACTGGCACGACTAGACGATTTTTTATGTACTTCTCCAGTTGACCCAGATTTGGTTTCAAGGATTTCGTAGTTTTCTGGTAATAATATCATCTCTTTTGTTTTTTTGAAAAAATTGTATGAAGAGCTCTTCATGATCTCTTTTGATGTTTATCCGACGCCTTTCTGACATTTAAAATGAATAAAATTTTGCATGGTACCCCTTTTTATCATTTTGAGACAAAGACATCTCAAACATTCAACTTTAGTAAAAACTCCTCCATCGGAGCATCCAAAATCAAATGAACAAATACCAATGTGACAGCACAGTTGATATTGCTGAGCTCTGTTGCTCAACTTTCAAAGAATCAAAACTATTTTCTAAAAAAGAACAAGTGTGACAAGAACTAATTTCCTGTCATTCTTCAATGGATGTAATTTAGCGTTGTTTATGACAATATGTCTGGTGTCTTCAAGATAGAATTTTCTTAGAGATTCGCAAGTCCTATATTGTTTCCAGGAACCAATAAAATAATCTTCAACATTATCATTACTTAGTTTTCTCAAAACTGATCTATAGATATAAAGAGCTTGAGACTGAACATGGGAACCTTTATTCAAGCGTTCGTCAATAAATCTGTAAATTGCATATCAATTGTAACTTCAGAAATCAACATGCAATGCTTGCAAGAAATTATGATGTCATTTTCCTATAAGAGTTTTCGAGCAATGTTAAATTCTTCTTCTGTCAAATCCCAGAACAACTTCTTATGGTACAACTGATCTGAAGAATGAAAAAAAAAAAAAAAATGTTGGTCAAAACAACCAATATTTCTTTGGATTTCAAGCAAACGAATAAAATGAAGAATGCATGGCAAATACCTAGAACACAACTGAAAGCAATTTGTAAATGTGGAAAAGACTGTAAAAAGGATAATCTTTTTACTTAAAAGAAATATGTTTTTGCTTGAACCCAGTCTCTCCCATTTCTTCATGGAAAATCCCAACCTGAAAAAAAAATCTATGCATTTGTTATTAGTGAAAGGAAAAAAAAAGAAGAAAAGAAAATTTGCATAATATGTAACAGACTTGTAAAATACTTTCAAGATAGCAACCAAGAATGATCCAAAGGCTAAGAGAACTTTTCAAGTTAATTATGTTTCGCCAAACCTTATTGATAGCTGATCCAATCAACTCAAGATAAAGATGATCCTGTTCACCATTGGTTTCTATTGAAGATTCTATAAGTTCTACAGGTCTCTTGTTGGACAAGAGAAACTGTCCCAAAGACTTTATATTAGCATATTAAAACCCCTACTCCAAAAACTATCTATGTTAGTGATGACATATTTACCAATTTATTATTATTATTTTTAATGTTTAATATTAAACTACATAGAAAAATCACGCTAAACATTGAAGGTCACTAAAAAAAATAGCAAGTGATGAAAAAAATCCATTAGATGTCAATAGCGATGAACGATGGCAGACAGATGCAGAAATGTAACAAGATTTAATTAAAGTATTGTTAAATGTGTTTGCAAAGATTAATTAACTCAAGTACTCTTTCACCTACTAAAAGTCTTTCAGCCAAATTGTAGTATATTTGTCCAACAAAAAAAATCATTTCATTCTTTGCAGTATCCTAAAACCAAAATAAGTACAAAGATTACTATGAAAGATCAAGATGCTATTCAGAGGCATGAAAGACACATGCTTTAAGTTTAATAAAAGACCTTACATCTAAAAGAAGGGATGACACAGTCACTTTAACTCCCTCCACTGTCAGTTTACAGCTATGAAAACCTTCAATTTGTTGAACATTTTCTTCATTCAAAATAGAATCACAAATTAAAAAAATTTGGATGAACATCAACAAAGAGAATGAAAAACACGTCAAACACTATGTTAGGAAGCAAAATAGTTTGATATTATTATCAGGAAATTGCAAAATCGTTGAAACCAAATCTGAGTCAATTGGAGAAGCACATAAAAAATGGTTAAGCTTTCTGTTAGTCCACAACATAGCTATGCCTTTCTCCAATGAAATTTTCATACTTGCAAAAGAAGTTGATCAAGTATACACGTCACAGTGAAGCTTTAAGAAGTCCTAGAATATAACAAAGATAATTTAAAAAAAACAGAAAGCGTTGCAGAAAATTTGCTTTACTTGAACATTCAAACATTCAAAGACAGCAGATCAAAAGTGCAACACAATATGAATATTGTACTCTTTACACTTGATTTAAGTTTACTAGTTAATGCATGATAAGCATTGATGTCAAGTTCATATAGTAAATTGATTACACATTGTACATCACACTGAATTAGCTGAAAAAATTACAACATGAATCAAATTCATAAAGTACACAACAATAATATAACACGTTAAACATAGTAATTGACGTTTTAAATTGGAGATGATTTATAAATTTAAAATACAAAAATGTTAGACCCAGTCAAGAAAGCGAAAAAATGTACCAATAGGTTTGTTGGAAAAGTTTATGCTTAGCAATAAAGACCTATGATAAAAACCCAATGTAGAAAGGTGATATACTGTTGTATTTGGAAAATTATCTAGCCAATGTTGACTTGCAAGGACACTATCTAATCTCTCGAAAACTTTGCCAATTTTTCCAAGTATAGCTAAGACCAACAAAAACAATGTCAAAAAGCTTAGCATCCAAAATAGTTTCATTGAATTTAGTTATCATTGACATATTTGGTCTACTTCCCCCTTGTTTCTCTTTATGACCTGTGATCATGTTAAAGTCGCCCCCACCCGTCCAGTTCTCCATCATATTAGAACCCAAGTTAATCAATTTGTTCCATAATTCAAATCTTAATTTATGACTACAACTTGCATAGATAATTGTGGCCCACCCTTTGCATATGTTGATATTAAAAGAGAAGTGCAGAAATTGCGGACCATCTATGTTAATACTTATTAACATTTCTTTTCTATAGAACACGTGCAAAGAATGAAATGATTTTTTTTGTTGGACAAATATACTACAATTTGGCTGAAAGACTTTTAGTAGGTGAAAGAGTACTTGAGTTAATTAATCTTTGCAAACACATTTAACAATACAACTTTAATTAAATCTTGTTACATTTCTGCATCTGTCTGCCATCGTTCATCGCTATTGACATCTAATGGATTTTTTTCATCACTTGCTATTTTTTTTAGTGACCTTCAATGTTTAGCGTGATTTTTCTATGTAGTTTAATATTAAACATTAAAAATAATAATAATAAATTGGTAAATATGTCATCACTAACATAGATAGTTTTTGGAGTAGGGGTTTTAATATGCTAATATAAAGTCTTTGGGACAGTTTCTCTTGTCCAACAAGAGACCTGTAGAACTTATAGAATCTTCAATAGAAACCAATGGTGAACAGGATCATCTTTATCTTGAGTTGATTGGATCAGCTATCAATAAGGTTTGACGAAACATAATTAACCTGAAAAGTTCTCTTAACCCTTGGATCATTCTTGGTTGTTATCTTGAAAGTATTTTACAAGTTTGTTACATATTATGCAAATTTTCTTCTTTTTTTTTCCTTTCACTAATAACAAATGCATAGATTTTTTTTTCAGGTTGGGATTTTCCATGAAGAAATGGGAGAGACTGGGTTCAAGCAAAAACATATTTCTTTTAAGTAAAAAGATTATCCTTTTTACAGTCTTTTCCACATTTACAAATTGCTTTCAATTGTGTTCTAGGTATTTGCTATGCATTCTTCATTTTATTCGTTTGCTTGAAATCCAAAGAAATATTGGTTGTTTTGACCAACATTTTTTTTTTCATTCTTCAGATCAGTTGTACCATAAGAAGTTGTTCTGGGATTTGACAGAAAAAGAATTTAACATTGCTCGAAAACTCTTATAGGAAAATGACATCATAATTTCTTGCAGGCATTGCATGTTGATTTCTGAAGTTACAATTGATATGCAATTTACAGATTTATCGACGAACGCTTGAATAAAGGTTCCCATGTCCAGTCTCATGCTCTTGATATCTATAGATCAGTTTTGAGAAAACTAAATAATGATAATGTTGAAGGTTATTTTATTGGTTCCTGGAAACAATATAGGACTTGCGAATCTCTAAGAAAATTCCATCTTGAAGACACCAGACATATTGTCATAAACAACGCTAAATTACATCCATTGAAGAATGACAGGAAATTAGTTCTTGTCACACTTGTTCTTTTTTAGAAAATAGTTTTGATTCTTTGAAAGTTGAGCAACAGAGCTCAGCAATATCAACTGTGCTGTCACATTGGTATTTGTTCATTTGATTTTGGATGCTCCGATGGAGGAGTTTTTACTAAAGTTGAATGCTTGAGATGTCTTTGCCTCAAAATGATAAAAGAGGGTACCATGCAGAATTTTATTCATTTTAAATGGCAATGTCAGGAAGACGTCTTTATCAAGGCTTTTACTGAAAATTGGAATGTATTTTTCTCATGAAAATGCCTTGGCAAGATGAGCTATTTTTTTCTTTTGTGTATTTATCTGACTGTTTATTCCTTTCTGTTTTTTTATTTAGCAAAATCTTTGGAGGCACCTTGTGAAAAACAGGATGCACGTGAAGTACATGGTGTATCTTGGCAATGCATCTCTGTGTTGTTTGATGGAAAGCCTTGCTTTGATGCTAATTTCCATGGCTATGATTTAAATTCGTTCAAGTTAATGGGGGACAATAATATAGGGTACATTTTTTCTGCTGAATGTGCTGCTTTACTGTACAATATGAGCTGGTTATTTTTGAAATATTTTCATCCATAACACATGATGTGATTATTTAAGTTGTGTTTTGGTCTGTTTGCTACAAATTTGATTCCCTTTTTTTGTTATTCACGAAGCTTACTTTCATCACTTCCGTTTTCCAGCACCAAATGTTGTTCACTCTCAAATGTACAGATGCAAGTCATCATTTCATGATCATTAATGGCCTTCATACTATGCCGAGAGATCCCACCACTTTTTCAAAAGGTTAGTGAAAATATATTGACAGCATTGTTGATTTTGGAAAAATATACTTTTTCCCTAAACCAAGTCCTATATCTCTTCGTAGTATTGCCAACTTTTACATTTCTTAAATTATGAATAACAAAGAGTTTATTTTCTCTAGCGCATGTGTCTCGACTCATTGTCTCACTGATCTGACTATTAACTGTAGAGGCTCCATTCCCCCACCTTATTGCTCACAAGGATCACTTTCTTTACGCCATTGGGCTGCATTTTCTCATCAAACTTCTATTGATTCAATTGTGAACTATCAATATCTTTCTTTTCTTAGAGAAAAGGAATGCAATTTCAAGGCTTATAAGGTGCATAAGAATGCACTAGGTTGTCCATTGAAATTTTGTGCGCATACAAAATCATGAATCTCTAACTTGTCTTTTAATCAAATGTTTGTTTATTTTAGAAAATTTTCAAGTCTATGCTCATTTATAGAACAAGATGATAGGCGGAACAGAACAAGATGCGGAGGTTTATATAGTTTGTTGCATTTTTCTATTTTCTTATTCTTCTAAATTATTTTGTTACAGTTTAAGCAGCATGTAGGAGACAAACTTGATTTATTTTGATTAAAAGAGCAATATTTGACAATTACTGTTCTTTTGATATTTTGTAATTTATTGCCTTCATCTTAAATAAATAAATTATGTGGCCAAAAACCATTTGTGCACAAAATTATAGACGATGGTATAATAGGTTGCATGATTTTAATTCTTCGTAAAATCATCCATCTTGACTTTGCTACCATTAAATTTTTTCAATTGAGAATCAACCTATGGTGCATGATTTTACCCACTATGTTAAAGCTAAAATATAGAATTAAATCTTTTATATTGATTTCTAGAGATATTTTTTTTCACAACCTGGTCTATCACTTAGAAATTTTCAAGTTTAGAACAGACAGTTGGTCGATGTTAATCAAAATTTTTTATATTTTCATTTTTATAATTAATATTTAATTATTCAAATATAAATGATAGTTACTACATAAAAAAAATAGTAATTTTTAAGTTTAGAACAGACAGTTGGTCGATGTTAATCAATTTTTTTTATATTTTCATTTCTATAATTAATATTTAATTATTCAACATAAATGATAGTTACTACATAAAAGAAAATGGTTAATGCAGTTAGATTTACCTTATTTTGGTTGCTCGTGCTTTTATAAACATGCTCTGCTCTATTAATTATCTTTTCTCAAAATCTCTATTCGATTGCAGCCTTGCAGGTGCTAAGAACAGCCGCTTCCTCTATATGGTTCAGGTTGCATAGCTCTCCAATGGTGCGGGGGCCACTGAGCTTCAGGAACAGCAAGCTTTTCTCGCATCTCCACAGGCGCAGTATGAACGCTCAGTCCTATAACAGCAACGCTACTCCTTTCCTTCATGTATCCTGATCCAGGAAAATACATGCTTTACCAGTATATGCCAGTTTGGTAAAATTTAAAACATACAATAAAAAAGGAAGATACACACATACCCACTTAATTCCTATGTATACACATGTCTAATAAATAAATTTTTGCCATTACAATTGTTAACAGTATAAGAAAGGTGACATATGTAAAAATTGTGATTTAAATGTTAGATAGTAAATATATAGGAATTAAGTGGCACACCGGCATGTATGTAAATATTCCATAAAGTTAACAGTATAAACAAAACTCCATTCAATAACTTCAACTAAAGAATCAATGTAACATGCCCTTTCATCATCATTAAAAGTGTTTGGAGGTGCGGAACCACCAAATCCATAGAATTGTTTTGAAGCAAACTGACATCTTGAAAAAGATTCTTAATCTATGATAAATAAAATTGGACTGATAAGATCAATTCCATTGGAAATTAACCAATAAAATGAATGATATTTAAAAAAAAACTAATTACTTCTCTGTCAAACTAAATACATAAAACTAATTTAGCAAATTGCATAATTAATTACCTCATTTCTTCCAAGATTTTAATTTCACTAAAAAAATGAAGTTTGCAGGAAATGGAAGTATTCAGGAAGTGAGACAGAGGATAGATTATAATCATGAAAGTTATGCAAAATATTCATCTTCAGCTCTGTATTCTAAACAAGTTTTTCAGAATTTTCCTCTTTATTTATATACGAAACGGAATATCGTATTAATGATACTTACAGTTTGATCACAAATATTATCTCATTTAAGCTAACTCTTGCCACATAAAATTAAAAAAAAAACTAAATACTTCTCTGTCAAACTTCACTATGAATAAGCCATTTCCTGCATGACATGAAAAACGTAAATATTACACAGAAATATATTTAGAAATAAAACCAATCAGTCTTAATCAGTTTATCCACTACAAACAGAACCACCATAGCTCTGCCCTTCCTGCATATTACTATGAATAATATAACTCTATTTGTTTGCTTTCATATGCAACATCATAAAGCAATTCAATATTCAAAATGTCATCAACAACTTTGTTCAATATTCAAAATCTCTTCACCCAACAAAGCCCGGACACTTACAGGTCCAAGCTACTCAATATAGCGAACAAAACACTTCGGTTCATCTCAAGCTCCTCCTGAACACATGAACAATGTAAAGAGCGGTCGTTGAAAGAGCCAAAAATTTGTCAACAGAAATGGAAAAAAACATCAAAATAATTTAGAGCTCTAATGCAGGAAATTTATTAATCACCAATACTCGCTATATTAATCCCAAGAAATTATAGAAAAATACATTTCGTGTTGACCTATTCCACCTCCAATTAAAGAAGACGACGACGAACTTAAAAATTTTAAAATAAAAAAGTTCGGCAAAATAATGACGCTCCATGGTGAAATCCCTCAACATTCTGTAAACCTAAAATGAGCAACAGAACCAATCCTCATGGGACTTGACCAGAAACAAAAAATGCCAATATTTATCGAAGCCCATTTTCGAACTTGGACTTAACCAGAAACCAAAAACATCGAGAAATAAAAAATGAAATAGTCAAAGAGAGTTTAATTAGAAATCTTCATAAGTCCCCTAAATCAAATATACTGAGGCACTCATTGCCAAAGTTTCACTTCAACTGCCAATGTTACATAACCTGCCATCAAAGTCCCTGATCGTTCACCCACTAATGAACAATGAAATTAATTAGAAGTAAAAAAGCATTCATTTGCATTATCAGTTGAAGAATCCGCTCCAAAAGGATTCAAAAAAATTCACTTTTAAAATTAAGAGATTGTACAAACAAAAAGCTGCTCAACACACTTTCTGGAATAGTTACAACTATAAATGAATGTAATGCTAAAGTTTGAAAAAAATCATATTTTACTGAAATAAATTAACCATTACAGATGCAGCAGCTCTAATTTAGGAAAAATTATCCCATACAGATCGGACACCGCACGCATCTGATCCTAACCGTAAATCAGGTGATTTACGGTCAGAATGTATTTCGGTGGGCCCCACCTAAATTTTTTTTTAAAAAAACTGAAATAATCCTGACCATAGATCACCGTGATCTACGGTTAGGATCGGACACCGCATGCAGAGATGTATGCGGTGTCCGTATGAAATAATTTCTCAAATGCTGGACATGATGACACGACACCTGAGCACTACTGCTGGGCAACGTCACCTCTAAGCTATTTCGCGCTCTTGCTAGATCTACAAGATCTCAATTTAATTCAAAAACCAACAATAATGTGTCTTCTTCAAAGATCTGCATGTAATTGCCCCTAAATATCAAAAGTGAGTGATGCAAGTTTCAGGTGATCTGTATGTAATTTCTTGTAAATCCCGATTTTTGTTAAGGGAATCATCATAGCCCAAGCAGAGCTAAATGCTCACAACAAAACTAGATCTATAGGCAATATAACATTTTTTAATGCGATATTTCACTCCAAAAAATGTCAAAACCTTGGTATCGTTCAAAAAAATTAAATAGATCCAAAAAAAATTTATGAAAACTTAAGCTAAGAGGAGAACCTGAAGATATATATGAAATATTAAAGAAAATATACTTAAAGATGAAGCCTCCGTAGCCTTACAAGCAACCAAGCAAGAATATCGAACAATCAAGCACTGAAGCAAAAATACCGCCTAGTCGATCCAAAGCCGACTTACAAATATACTTTATAGAAGACAAACTAAACCCTAAACGAACACAAACAACCAACCCCAAGCTCTTCGCGATTTTGAAAGAAAAAGAGGGAGAGTCAGCGGAAACCGAAGGCTTTCGAGAGGGGAAAGGAGTTCGAAGTGCCGAACAGCCGAACACGGGTTAGGGCTTAGGGTTTGACATTTTAGATTGTATATATTAATATATATAAATAATATGTTATAATAATTATATAACTTATATTATATATATATATATATATATATATATATATAAAAGTTTATATTTTGAATAATAACGATTCGAATATGAATCAACACAACAGTGTTCGTGTTTGGTTCGTTTAAAAAACCGAACGAAAAAAAATTATTTGTGTTCGTCTCGTTTACTTATCAAACGAATCAAACACGAACACCCTGACGAACCGAAACGAACTTTTTGCAAACAACGAGCTTTTTTGACGGCCCTAAATACATAGGAATTGAGTGTTATGGATGTAAATCTTCCAAAATGTTGTCCCTTGCAAAAATATGCTTATAAATTTTTGTTTTAACTGCTGCCACGATTTCAACTCAATTCTAGTCCACGCAAGGAGTTCATATGTGAAAATGTGGTCTCCAATTGGTCTTGTCCTTAGAGTAGTGTTGTGATTGACGTTGTGGCTCCCTTACAGGCTCATTTTAGAAGCAAGTTCTTTGTCTCTATCTTATTTTGTCACTCATCAAGTTGATGTCCGTAATAACTATTATAAGTGGTGGTCATGTAGAATGATGTTTGACCATAAACTAAATAATTTATTGGGGTATGCTTAAGCAACTTCCTACTTTCAAAATTAAGATGCACTTTGGGATCACTTCTATTTCTTAATTTTTATTTTTTTTCTGTTTTTTAAAGTTTTGATTTGAAAGAAAACATATTTGACTAGTTGAATAAAATATAGTTGTTTCTAAAAACACTCAAATATTTCAAAGTAATCGAGTGTTTTGAAAAAAATATATTAATTTATTTTTTTAAAAAAATAACTAAAAATTTGTAGAAAAACACATTGAATAAACATTTTTATAATCAAAAGCGAAGAAAAAAATGATATCAAATAAGCCCTAATTTATTGATTTATGTTCTTCAAAACTAAATTGATTAACACATTGTTATTTATTGGCTTTTTGGCTTCTTTTTCTTCTGTTGTGATGCTCTTCTGTTGTGATGCATTCTGTTGTGATGCAGAGCAATGAAAGATAAATGGATAGGACTATGGGAGTGCTTGCTTTTGGGCGAGATATTGGATGTTGAAACTCTCAAAATTTTTGTTGAGAAACTGTTGAAATCTTTGAATTCCCAATGTGATTTTATACTCAATAATAATCTCATCAAAGTTATACACAGTGATGCTCAGTATGTCCTTGTTGCTGAAGTCTGCATTGTTCAGTCATTGTTTTATAAAACATTCTTTGGCTAAAGATGATGTTATGGGTAGCAAAGGCAAGGGCATTTGCTGACCATAGTAAAAAGTTAAGTTAATCCTCACATCTGTTGAGAGTTTGATTTCGGAAGCAGTTGGCGAAGGCATGAAAGACAACAAGCAACCAATTATTCTCATCTTAGATTTTGATGTGCAGGTAATCACTTTCATTTGATAACGAATAAACATTTTGGTTTGGTATTGAACCACCTATTGCACACTTCTATTTGGTAAAAGTGTCAAAATGATCCTCTGATTCATTGTAAGAGGTCATTTTAGTCCCGGTTTATAAAAAAATATTTACATATATACCACTCAATTCTTATGTATTTACATTTCAACACCTCAACTTCAATTTTAACATACATGACATCTTTCTATGTATGGAAATATGTTTCACTTTTTAAATGTTAAAATGATTTTATTTTTGATGTGATATAAAATTTTGGGTGGTATAAATGTAAAAAATAAAGTTATTAGATATGTCAATACATAGCATTAAGGTGGTATGCATGTAAATTATTCACAATAAAAATATCAATTTAGTCAACTAACTCTTTTAATATTAGTTGAAACAATCCCAGTGAAGAATATTTTAACACCCGTTAAAAAAGTTATTGGATTAATTTAGCATTTGTATAAGCTCTATGACTAATATGACCAGATGTAAATAGTCAAGGGTCTATTTTGTCACTTCACTACTGTTCCTTTTAGATTTGTACTGGTGATAGGTAGGATGACTTTCTTTTTTTTTTTCATCCTAACCTTGTTCACTATTTGAATAACCTTCAATTTAAATTGCAAGGAGAATTTTCTTTTACAGAAAGTAGTTTTTTTGCACTTAAGAGCTTTCCTAAGCCATGCTTGCATGATTGTATATGATCTCATGGCAGAGCATGCAAATATTGAAAAATCAGGAGGTTTATCACATGTCTTCCTTAGGCAGCATTTTGCTAAAACTGAACTATCATGTCAGTGAAAAGAACAAATTCGAAGTTAATCTTCCATACATATACCATTTTTGTGCATATTATTTGCTTAATCCTGGTGGCAGTATCAGTTATATGCAACAAGAGTTTGAAAAATGGTTTCAAAATCTTAAGTGGGAGGTAACACTCTTTGAATACAATCAAGTAATCTCTTTTTGCGTGACATTAACTTACATACCACCTAATTGCTATGTATTTACATATCTAACACTAAAACTTCTTATATTTATACTGTCTAAATCTTTCATATCATATCAAAAATATCATTACTCTTTAACTCTGAAAAAATGAATACATTTTTCTGCATTTTTAAGGTATTAGTTAGGCATGCAGATACATAGGAATTAACGAATACATTTTTCTGCATTTTTAAGGTGACAGATATGTAAATGTTGACGTTTAGGTATTAGTTAGGCATGCAGATACATAGGAATTAAATGGTATGTACGTAAATTTTTTTATATTTAGGTTTAAATTATTTGTAGTTTTTTTTTTATTTGGTGTCATAAGCAGTTTTTTGTTTTTGTATACGACAAAGCATGAAATGTTCCAATAATTGAGGAATTATTATTAACATTACAAAATCATGACATATTCTTGTATTTTGGTCATTGAAGTGGTAAGTTTGTCTTAATCCAATTATTATTCCATAATAGTGTTGCGGTTGTTTAATAGTTTCAAAGCATCTAATTTCTGTGTATTATATATTGAACACCTAATTCATACTACCCAAATCATTAATGTCACATAAAAATTACAGTTATTTTAGCTTTTAAAAATTAAATTTTTTCACATCTCATAAAAAATATTATCATTTTACTTTTAAAAAGTAAAATATACATTTTCAATCACAGATAAGGTGGCATGCATGTAAAAAATAGTTGATAGATATATGACCACATAGAGAATTGAGTGATATGTATGTAAATCTTTTTTTTCTCTTTTTTATGCCACCGGAATGAAATATATATGTGGGGAGTCCTTTGGAAAACTCAGTGGTTGTGCTGCTGCATTATTGATGGATTGTTGCAGTGGATCTCTTAGACAACAAGGGTGTTATGTGCCTCAAGATGCTCCTTTTTAATACTTATTTGCAGACTCTCTTGGAATAATTGCAATTTTATGGGACGTAATTGATACAGAAATCGCCCTTTTTGCGAATGTCATACTCAACTCATGGACTTTGGACTCCATCCTTCATAAGTGCAACAAATGCATCAGTTTGACAGAAAATTTTAATGACGGTAAATCCAACTTTCCATCCATAAGAAAAGTTTTGAAATTCACAAAGATTGCTAAGGAGTATTGCACGTTTTGTGAAGCCAAATTAAGAGTTGCTTCACTTATTAGTGAGGCGAGGGGAGCTTGTAAACTTCCTACCATAGCATGACCTCAATTGTTTGTCATGGTGTGCCTACAATTTTAAAGAGGAATTAGATTTATAAGAAATTTGTTGCATAATTGCCCCTTTTTATTTTTGGCCTAAAGCTTTCAATGAAATTTGGGAGTTTTTGTCAATAACGTTCTAATCTGATGTGATTATTTGACAATAGACTACATTTTTTATGTGTTTCATTTTTAAAAAGTTAGCTATGATGATACTTTTTTATGCAATAGACTACAATTTTTATGTGTTTCGTTTTTAAAAAGTTAGCTATGATGATACTTTTTTATGTGATGTTAAAGATTTAAGTGGTATACATGTAAATATGAATACTTGGGTGTTTGGTGTGTAAATACATAAAAATTGTGTGGTATGTCTGTAAATTTCATGCCCCAAACCCTAATTAAACTACTATAATTTCAGAATTTTTTTATTAAATTCAATTAGGATTAGCTTTTTGGAGGAATTTAGTTGCTTATGGGTACAATTCACAATGAAATCTTTGAATGAAATAATTGTCACGACATTAAACAACTCTTGATTTTCGAGCTTCTGCTGTAATTTTCTGTTAGCACTTCACAATTGCAGCATTTAGAGGCCTAAGATTCATTTGATTGCTTGTGTTTATAAAATGTAATTTTGAGAATGAGTTAATTAAATGATTATAGTAATGTTGTTATATCAATTTATTACTTGCTCATTACATGTTTAGTTGGTTTCAGTCGCACAGTTTTACAATTTCACCCATCATTGTATTTTAGGAAAATTTACATGTATTTGCATATCTAGCACATAAACTTTCCTATTTGCATTTAAAGCATTTTGATGTTGATAAATATATGTTAATAATGGTGTTATTTTTTATATGCTCTTAAATATTTGAGTGCTAGATCTTTTATTTTTTTAATTTCAATTTTTTATTGTAAATATTATGTTGAATTTGATTTATTAGTCTTAAGAAACCCATACCCCTCAATTTTTGTATATTTACATTATCTGACACGCATATTTTTATTTTTATATTTATACGACAAATCTTTCATATTGCATAAAAATATCATTATTTTACTTTTTAAGAACTCAAATTGTATTTTTATTCTTTGCCGATTTTTTAATTCACTTTGCTCTTACAAGAAATGTCAAGGTGTGTTGCATGACGCTAAAATTGCATCTAATATGAATGTTTTATCTTTCAATAGCTACCAAATATGTTAGATATGCAAATACATAGGAATTGAGTGTTATGGATGTAAATGCTAGCAGAATGTTGTCCCTTACAAAAATATGCTTATAAAATTTTATTTTAACTCCTGCCAGAATTTCAACCCAATTTTA